TTTAATTGGATTTTTAAAAATCTACACACAGTGGGCTTCATCTCACAGGCAAAGAAGAATGGCTTTAAAATCAAGTTGATTATACTATTATTTAAAAATTACATTACTGCAAATGCAGTACTCTTGTAATTTTTAAAACTCTGCGCCTTTATTTTGTGGAAAATTAAAATACTGCCTTTTTATTGGGAAGGATGAGGGGGTGAACTGATTCTTAGATCATATCTGTAACCAGTCTTGTGCTCCAGGGGTGGCTAGTGTGTCCCCTGGGGGTCCCATGATCCTGCACACTGCTTTTGCCCCAGGGTGCCCTCCCCTTCTAGCTTGCCCACCACACTTTAGATGCAGCTATTTAGTTGCAACGGAGGCTGCCTGATAGATACTACGGCTTATCCTGGGACCTCTAGGTGCCAGCTGGTTCTTTCAGGGTACCTGTTATGCCTTCAGGGCTAGTTGCATGGTTTCAGTGGGCAGTTGACCCCAATGTGACACCAGACCACCTCAGACCTTTTTAGCCTTACTGGGGTCTCAGTCTTTCTGGCCTCAGCCCCCTTTTTCTTTCACTGGCTCCCATAGCCTAGGCCCATTGTGCTGGACCTGGTTTTTGGGTCCCAGCCCTTTGTGAGCATTGAACCTGCTTTGGCTGTCACTGAGCCCATGGCTCCTGTCTCCACCCTGCTCTGGGTACTCTGGCCCCAAGCTCTGCCCTGCCCTGGGCCCTCTGTCCCCCAAGTTCTTCCTTGTGCCTTACCCTGGCAGGGCTCCAGGTGATCACATGACCCTCAGGCACTAATGGGACCTCCAAACCTCCTGTTAGTCCCTTCCACAAACCACCAGGCAAAACATAGACCGAAACATGAGCCTACTGACTTAATTCTCCAGCACATTGGCTGTCTGAAATTCCCCATGCAGACTGAGCCTCCCTCTCTGCCAGCCCTCAGCTCGTTACTGGCCTGTCTCCAGGATAGCAAGATCTCTCTCATGATTTTCTCAGCAGTCTGCTGTAGGGCTCCTTCCCCTTCAGCCTCCAGAGCCAGACTGCCCTCCTCTGCCTCAGGACCTGTGTTTATATATCTCCCTGGCCCCGCCCTCTGCTGAACACCTGCCTCCCTGACCTGCTGCAGGTGCTTCCTGATTCGGCTTGCTGGCTCAGCCTTAGGGTGGCTCACTGCTGCTGGGCTCTGTTGTGTATCTGTGCAGGACTCTGTTGCACTAGGTTGAAAATGCCCAGTTGTGGCTAGGTCGGTGGGCTGGACACCAATGAGGACGCAGTTTATGATTAATATGCAGTATTTATTTGGCTATAACCTATAAAATATTGACAACTCAAGCAAATGATTTCCTATATAATACTAATCTATGACAACATACAATAATCAGACAATCAAAGCTGAGGAGCAATGTCCGTTGGGTCATGAGGTTCGGGTCAAGGCCCCTTGCTTTCAAAACCACAAGTGATTTTGGTGCAGCTGGCCAGGACCCTAGTCTCAGACCTGGTCAACAGCTCATATCTCTTAAAAG